ACATTTGGTGTCATGTATGCTATGCTGGAGTACATTGAATACAGTGTGAGATCACACACGAGATTATTGGCAATAATTTGGTTGACTATTTATGAAATTGATGATTGAGTTTGAAGTGATGCCAAGCCCTCACCCATACCCCCACCCCTACACCCCTACCCAACCACTGTTTCCCGCGGCATGCGATCCGGTTTAGAGTCGATGCTCACACATGACGGCAATCTCAGTGCATATGATATGCATGAATGGCATGTCGTGTAGTCGTGTAGATGTTGTCTAACATATGATTGTATGTGTAGTCGAGTGTCGGGACGACCGGCGAGTCCGAAGAGTCAGTTGGAGGCGGAGAAGAGGATTCGTCGCGAAATAGCCAATAGTAATGAGAGGCGCAGAATGCAGTCCATTAACGCCGGCTTCCAGTCGTTGCGGACACTACTGCCCCATCACGACGGAGAGAAACTGAGCAAAGTATGCACCACTAGACTACCTGTCCCTTCACTATACTAACCCATATGTACTTGTGATGCATAGGCGGCTATATTGCAACACACGGCTGATTACATCTATCAGTTGGAACAGGAGAAGACCCGACTCCTCGCCCAGAACTGTCAACTCAAGCGACTTGTCAACAGCCAAATGGCCACCGATGGCGACCTTTCCAATGATAACTCCCCTCTCCATAAGCGGATCAAACTTGAGAAGACACACACACCCAGTGGTGTCGATTCGTGCGACTCTTCCGACGAAGTCCTTTGTCGCAGTCCTAAGTCCAACATCACATCACTGGTCGACTCGACCGACCTCTCCAACGACGACCTCAAGCGTGAAATGGTTGAACTCAGGCTTCAGTTGGACAGAGAGAGGCGCCTAAGGATGACACTCGAGGACCAAACGAGATCTCTGGAGACACAGCTGTACCCCGAGAAGATCCGAGAGATCGCCCACAACGTGCAGTATCACTACCAACCAGTGGTCCGTATTAGTTGCTTGATAACAGTGACAGTCAATGATTTCAATTGATTTAACATTTTGTGTATTGTTTTTGAAACCCAGAAAATCAATGACATGTCGAGCAGTTCCCAAGAGTTGTCTGAATCAGACCTGGCGTCCGACGAAGTGATCGGCCAAACGGTCGAAATCGAGGCAA